AGGACAGGCACCAAAACTACACAGAGAAACCCTGTCTTGAAAACAAACAAACAAACAAGCAAGCAAAACAAACAAACAAAAAAACAACAAAAGATATTTCCCTTCAAAGCTTGAAAACATCTCACCATTTTCTTCTAATGTCACCTGAAGGGATCTACTATAACCACAGAGCATGGTAGCTCACACCTATAATCCTGGCACTTGGGAGGCTGAGGCAGGAAGATAGCTAAGAATTCAAGCCCAGCTTGGGGTACCTAATGAGACCCCCATTTCAGCACATACATCCATCCTTGCTTCCCACCCCAAAGACACTTGGCGTAACCTAGGGCATGGTGGCTCATGCCTGTAATCCCAATACTTTGGAGGCTGAGGTGGGATTACTGAGAGTTTGAGGCCAGCTCGGTCTACCCAGCAAGCCCTGCAGAGAAAAGGAAACCGAGGCTTAGTGCCGCTCTTATCCCTGATCTGGTCACGTACTTAGCAGTGTTCACTGTCACTCCAGCCTTCTGAAATCATGGTTGACTGTCCAGGCTGGCCTGGGATTGGCCGTGTAGGGACAGGCTAGCCTCCAACCGGAACCACCACACTGTTGTGGGGTACCCACCAGAGAAGACTGACCAGAACGGGTCTACGCCTATATAGAAAGTCTTGATCAGCCAGCCAGTGACTACACTAGATGTTTGGGATCCCAGTATAGCAACAATCCTTTCTCAGGGTGAGCTTTTAAGAGCAAAAACCATGCTCTGGATTGACACACTTCAGTTAACAAGAACAGTTAGCCAGAGGCAGAACTACAGAAGTCAAAAAGCAAGGTTAGTCCATTTAGAGGCTTTCCCAGAACTGTGGACTTTGATGGATTAGGTCTTTGTTTTTATTTTGGCAGATGGTGCTGTCTATGTGTTGAGTTTTATGGCCTGAATGGTATTTCCATCATGGAGTCAGTTATATTAAGGTCTTGGGCCCTGTTACACACACCTGGCCACAGTTTAAATTTCTAAGACCTTTTTTTTTTTTTTTTTTTTTTACAGTAGCACTAAGGTTTATTGGGGTGCCCTAGTACAGATGCTGGAGCTTGCCCATGGGCTCTTGATGTACAAAGCCCGGACATTTTGCCAGTTCTTCTTGAACAAGGACACCAAGAAATGGACAGCCAGGTGGGTGTTGTAGACCAGCTCATCATCGGTCATCTCTACATGGCCAACAACAACAGCCAGACACAGCACCTTCTTCATCTGGAACTTGATGGTGGACTTGACCTCATCCACTTTGGCCACCATGTTTTCATTGTGTGTCAGCAGGGAAAGGAATTTGCCAGCCTTGTTGAGGTCTGGGTCCAGGATACGAGGGATCTGCTTGATCAGACACTCGGAGGCCAAAAAGGCATTGTACTTCTTGGCTAGCTCCCCACCCCTCCCACCCCCCCACCCCCGGCCCAATGCTGTTTATTGAAGGAGGGAAGAGGTCTTAAATACAGGCTTACAGCACAATGGGAGAACCCTGGAGGGCAGAAGTTCGATACCGATGTTTTATAATCTTGCATCTAAGCTGTTAACGCCCATTATGCAGGATATACAGACAAGGAACTTCCCTTAAGCATTCAGGAGGGTGAAACCTAGCAGGGAATTAGCATAGGGAGGATATCAAGGTCAAGGTCAGCAAACAAGGCAACAGTTACCCAAAACGGTGCCAGGGGCCTACAGGTCTCCCTTTTACTAAAAAATGAGCTTCTGACTTAGGTTGTATGGGATGTCAGCAGGTCACCTTACCCATCATGGAGACGCCTGCCCAGGCCATACCGGCGTTCTGTCTTAGGTTGGTGAGTGCCCTTCAGGTATTACCCGTCTCTGAATACTCATTATCATACAGGCTCAATCATGTGTGAGCTGCAGAGTTAACTGCTGCCAAAGATCTCAAAGTGGCACTGGGCTTTCAATCTGTGTGTTCGACACAGAAAAGACCAACAGAGGTCCTATCCCACCCATAGCCAGTAGGCTAAAGGCAACTGAACCATTCCTTTCCTTAACGAGCCTTACTGCAAATTGGAGTCCTTGTAAGATGGTATTCCAAAAGCAAATGGAACTTGAGTTTATAAATTTATAATTTTCAAAGCCAATCAAAACGTATATAACTATTGAATTAAATTTATCATGCCAAATAGAATGAAAGATTAACTAACTATGGTAGCTACTTTTGCTGCCAGGGTCTCCACTGTGCTAGCTGTAGTAAGCAATTATGAAATGGTAATCCCAGAAACAGTAGCAGTGGTGGCCCCCACTGCTATAAGAGCAACAACATTGGCTAGCTTTTTTTTTTTTTTTTGGTTTTTCGAGACAGGGTTTCTCTGCATAGCTTTGCGCCTTTCCTGGAGCTCACTTGGTAGCCCAGGCTGGCCTCGAACTCACAGAGATCCGCCTGGCTCTGCCTCCCGAGTGCTGGGATTAAAGGTGTGCGCCACCACCGCCTGGCCGTTGGCTAGCTTTTTGACCAGCTTCTTGTTCTTATTAAGCTTCTTGAGTGCCTCGATGTACATGTGAGGGATGTCCACGGCCTTGGCCTCATCGCAGTGCTGCTGGTCCCCCAGGACGCACACTGAGAACTTGGGGTGAGGCATGGACTTGAGCCTGACGGTGCCTGAGAAGCATTAACTCTTCGGAGGGTCGTAGTTCTTCAGGCTGATCTGCAACTCCACTGTCTCCAGAAACTTGCGGTGTTTGCGCTGGTTCCCGTGCAGGACTTCCCACACCGCCTCGTACAGGGTATTGCGAGAGACTTTGCTGCTCATGGCTGCTGCGGCCGCGAAAACCAGAAAAGAACTCTGAGACCTTTTTATTATATATATATACACACACATATATACGTGTGTGCATATATATGTGTGTGTATATATTATCCCCTTTCTTGTTCCCATGTGGTGGATAAATCATCTTTTCTCTCTAAGGGTATTTCATAAGCTTTGAGGTTTTTTGTTTCTTGCATCCTGTGTCATTTCTATACTCTGTTTTCCTTTTACCTCAGTCTCTGAAATAGTTGGCACTATGGCTGACTCTGTCATTATTTAACATTTTGAGGTTTCATTCATGAAAATATCACTAGAAAGCCGGGCGGTGGTGGCACACACCTTTAATCCCAGCACTCTCCCGGCAGAGGCAGGCAGATCTCTGTGAGTTTGAGGCCAGTCTGGTCTACAGAGGGAGTTCCAGGACTGGCACCAAAACTACACAGGGAAACCCTGTCTCAAAAAAAATAAAAAATAAAAAAAAATAAAATAAAATTTAAAAAAAAAAAAAGAAGAAGAAGAAAGAAAAAGAAAATATCACCAATGTTTGGCACAAATGTTAATTTTGTTTGTTTGTTTTGTTTTGTTTTTCAACAGGGTTTCTCTGTGTAGCTGTGACCTGGAACTTGTTCTGTAGACCAGGCTGGCCTCGAATTCACAGAGATCCTCCAACAATCAAGAGACAAAGGAGGAGGAGGTATAGGTTGGCAACCGTGGATCGGGTGAGCAGTCTGCCAAGTTGGGGCAAATTTTTATTTCTATGTGTTTATTTTGTTTGTTTACTTTAAAGAGAGGGTCTTATGGAGCCCAGGCTGGTCCAGGACTTACTATGTGGTCAAGGGTGACCTTGAACTTCTGATCCTCCTACTTCCACCTCTAGAGTGCTGGGATTACAAGCAGGCACCATCACACCTGGTTTATATAGTTTTGGGGATCAAACCCAGGGCTTAATGAATGCTAAGTGAGCACTCTACCAACTGGGCCCCAGCCCCAGCTCCCTTGATGACAAGTTGACACTGACGATTACATTTGAAACTAAAGGCTGGCATGTAAGAAAGTGTTCCCGAGCCAGGCAATGGTGCCATGCACCTTTAATCCCAAAACTAGAGGTGGAGGGAGGTGGATCTCTGAGTTCCAGGCCAGCCTGGTCTACATAGTAAGTTTAAGGCCAGCCAAAGCTACAATAGTGAAACCCTGTCTCAAAACTAGCCAACCAACCAACCAAAGCTCACTCGTTAAGGGAGCCAAAGAAGCAGACTAGTTGGAAAATAATAGCCTAGAGGCATCCTGCTGTGGAAAAGGCTGTGGACTGTAGGAGGCAGCCTGGGTCTTCTGTGTTTATTCTTCTATGATTCTAGGACGATTTTTGGCCTGCATTGTCCAGGCTGGCCCTAAACTCTGGGGCTCTGACAATTCTCTTGCCTCAGCTTTCCACTCAGCTGGGCCCTCAGGCACACACAGCTACATCCCACTACCTCTAGCACTGCTGGTGTTTGGAAGTTTCTGGAAGTTCTTCAAGACAGAAAATAAAGATGCTGTGAAGCACACCCTCTTATTGCTGCTTCTCATTCTGTAGTTTTCCTGCACCCTGACCCTCCACCCTTCCCTTCCCACCGCACACTCACCCCCATCCCAGACACAAGCCACCCGCAGAGGCAAACTCTGGGCACGTGGACACAACATGCAAAATTCCTCCGCCAACAGGTGCAAACCGCCTCCAGCTCACACTCACATATGGATGCAGAGGCCCCTTCCACTTTCAGAGTTCTTCTCTCCTCCCACAGAGTGCTCCCAGTCCCCAGGCCCAGAAACTTCTGCCTCAGTGACACCTGGACTGCTTCCTCCTCGACTCCAACCACCTCAGGACGCCTCTTGCTGTGGCCCTGTCCGGTCCGTAACCTTTAGGGTCCCACAGTCTAAAGATGAGGCAGAGGTGCGGCAGAGTGTTGCTTAAACTGGCAGCTGCGCTGTAGCCACGTTACCTTCACCCTTCTTGTCTAAGTCTTGGCAGAGCTCAGTGCCTGTGCTCAGTGCCTGCGCTCAGTGCATCCTGGCGCAAGTTACATCATCTCTCGGGGGTCCTGGCGGAGGCCAGCCGCCTGCAATTCTGAGATGCTTTGATCCTATGACCCAGCTTGGAGTCAGCCTGTCTCTTCTTCCCTGGGATCCCCATTCATTCCAGTCTCCGTATCAGACTCTCCCGCCACGCTGGTTGAGCACTTACCACCACCCTGGTCCTGTTGTCTGGGAGTGTGTCAATGGCCAGGGAGGCCCCTCCCAGGTCCTGGCTTAGCTGGGTCCTGCCTGGCTTCAGCACCTGCCCGGGACTCTCTCGAGCTCTCCGACGCCAGCCTTGCCTGGTTCCCTCGGCCGTCCATTCCGGGCCTTGGCCTTCATCATGACCTGGGAGAAGGACAGAACACTGAGTGCTGGTGTCCCGAGGAAGGACATGAGAAGGGGCCCAGACCTCCTATCTTGCAGAAGCCTCAAGACTACACTATCATTGGTTCTGGGGACACTTGATGACCAGGACAGATTGAGAGCTGTGTGCCTCATACCATGCCCAGAAACACGCACATGCATTGCTAAAACCCCTCAACCCTCCACAGTGGACATGGTATGTCTGGCAAAACAGAATCTGGCTCAGAGGTTAAAGGTGCTGGGGACTGAACTCAGAGCCTACAGGTGACGCTCTACCATTGACCTACATGCCCAACTACGTCCTTCTACTCTCTTTCTTCTTTTTTTGAGGTGGGGGACTTTAGACAGGGTTTTTCTGTGTAGCCCTGGCTGTCCTAGGATTCATTCTGTAGACCAGGCTGGCCTTGAACTCAGAGATCTACCTGCCTCTGCCTCCCTGGGTGCTGGGATTAAAGGTGTGCGCCACCACAATGGGCTGAGATTTTACTTTCTATCTCTGTGTTTTTTGAATACTCCATGTCTCGTATATGTGGAATTATATCGTGATTGGCTTTTTTCACTTAGCATAATGTCTTCAAGGTTCAGCCCTGTTCTTTCGGAAAACTGAATGGTGTTCTGTGCTATCCCACATTTTGCTTATCTGATCACCTGACAGTAGGAACTTGATTTGTGTTCATGAGTTGGCTATCGTGAAGGATTCTAAGAGGAATAAAGGATACCAACATCTCTTTGAAGACATGTTTTCAATTCCTTGGGTTATGTGCCCAGAAATGGAATTGTTGGCTCCTGAAGTAATTCCATTTCCTTCCATGCTGTTTTCCATGTGAAATGACTATGCAAGTTCATTTGTTTGTATGTTTTTAAATTATTTTTATTTCATTTTATTTTATGTATAGGGTATTCTGTTTGCAAGTAGTGCCCATGGAGGCCAAAAGAGGGCACTAGATCTCCTAGAACTGTAGTTACAGAGAGTTGTGAGCTGCCATGTGGGTGCTGAGGATCAGACCCAGGTCCTCTGGAAGAGCAGCCAGTGCTCTCAACCACTGAGCCGCCTCTCCAGACTCATAGGCCAGTTTTTATTCTCAATAGTGTCCAAGGTTGCCTATTTCTCCACAGCGTCGTCAAGCCTTGTTCTTTCCCAGGATCTTGGCAGTAGCCATTCTGATCGATGGACAGGAAGTGATAGGTACTTGTGGTTTTTGGTTTGCATTTCTTTAATGACTGGTGAGGATGAGCACCGTTTCATGTGATATTGGCTGTCTGTATAATGTTCAAGTCTTTGGTCCATTTTTAACTGGTGGCTTGGTGGCCTGGATCATGGTTCTGTTAGCTGTTTAACAGCATCTTCTCTCTCTGCCCACTGGACCCAGTTGTGCCTCACTCTCCCTCCCTCCCCCACTGGCCTTGACTGCTGAAAATGTCTCCAGACATTACCAGAAACTCCCTGGAAACAAACGGTTCTCCCTCGCCCACTTGATTTGGTTGATTTTGAAACAGGATATCAATACTTAGCCCTGGCTGATCTGGAACTTGCTGTGTACATGAGGCTGGCCTTAAATCACAGAGATCTGCCTGTATCTGCCTCTAGGGTGCTAGGACCAAAGGTGTGTGTTACCTTACCTGGCTCCCTTGTCCTCCTGAGGAGCATAGTCTTAGCTCCATCGAAAGCTTTCATCTCAGGCAAATCACCTTCCTATGTAACAGGGGGCTGAGAAACCCACTGGGATGGCAAAGGGGGTCCATCTCAAATACCATCTCCCATTCATTACTGGCAGCCAGAAGCAGTCTAGATAGGAATCCCAAGACTTCATCTGTGTTTATCAGCAGAGGGTGTCATGATCGATTAGTAATGTCTGTCACGAGCACAGAATTGGCAAGTGGGTACCCAGATGCAGTTGTTCCAAGACTCCAGCTGTCTTGGGCTGTTAAATTCATTCTAAATGACACTAAAAAGCATCCCTTTCCATTTTGGAGAGTTAGGTCCCCAAAGCTGTGCCCTATGCTGTCATTCTAACTGTCACACCTGCCCTGGATATATAAAGGACACAGACCACCCCACCTGTGGCCTTCATCAATTCTGGGTCCTTGATCAGATCCCTCTCTCCTCTCCACCTCTGGACTCCATCCACCTTGCTCACCAAAGCTCCTTGAGCGGCTCTCACTGTCCTGGATCCCTCCCTGAGGTCACTTTGTGCCCTCTCCCTGGGAGACTTGCGCTCCTCAGAGTGCAAACAGTAAGTGCTCAATCATTGCATAATCGAGGACACTACACTAAGGGATAGCTCTCGGGTAGACACAAGGACAGAGGCTGAAACAAGGCTTGGCTGGACCAGGCCTGGGGTCTGGCCAGGATGCTGCTGTGGAGCTCTGATTTGTCATTAGGCATTTTATCCAATTAAGTCATTCTTGGCGGCTGGTGCCTGCTGGACTGTTTCCCCCCCCCCCATCTCTGCCCCTAATCATAACCAGATGCTCCTGGAGAATGTGGGCAGAGGGGCAGTTTTGACCTCTTCCCCAACACATCCACCAAATGGCTGAAAGCCCGGGGCTAGGTGGCAGCTGAGGACCCCTCGGCCCCACGAAAGCTGCCTGGCCTCATCAGCAAGGCCACAGCTCACTGTTAGTGGCAGGCTGTTTGTGCTGAGTTGGGTGGCCTTCCCCCCAAGTCCTCCTGCAAGTAGCCTGGAGGGGAGGGCAGGAGCCAGAACTGGAAAGGCGCACACGCAGGCCAAGTGGAAGGGCTGATGTGTGGAGGGCGGGAAGTACCATTCCTGGACTGACTACGGTGAGGGATGTCAGATGGGGAGCTAGGAGGCCCGCAAGATGGTCCGTTCCAGGCCACCACCGTCCAGCCGGGACCTGGCAGTTTAGCTCTGCCAGCTTCGGGGTCCCTGTGCGACAACCACGCCAAACAACAGGATGCCCTGGGCACTGAGTAAAAAACAGAGATGAGGTTCGAGCCAGCCGGAGCAGGGGCACAGGTTCTGTGCAGGATGAGGGAATAAGGGCAGGGGAGAGCTAGGGATCCTCAGGAGTGTCTCTCCACCTCAGCTTCTCACCCTTCCCCCTTGGATGGGTCAGGATGCCACCTCTCAGCCCATGCTAGGAGCCAGTGTTGGTGGCTGGTCGGTCACACAGCCTTGAAGCCTAGTGGAATCCTCAGCCTAACAGGTTCATAAGGGTGGCAAGCCTAGGCACCTTAAGACACCCTTGCCCCGGTTACTGCCTCTCAGTGCCCATTCCATCCTTTGCTTCCAGAAGAAGTCCGTCACTCAGGGCTCCTAGCGCTGCATTATCTAACGGGATGTCGGGACAGCGGTGACTTTGAGAGGCTGCCGTCTTAGCTGCGGTAGTCTGAGGACTCACACACTCTTCATCCCCATGTCAATCAACCCCGGGAGATAAGCATTAGCTTTAGATCCATTTTATAAAGCAGGAAAACAACCCCCCTCAAGGTCACCCAATCAGTCCATGGGCAGGATTTGAACTCAGGCAGGATAGCTTCAGTCTGGTCAGAACCGGAGAACACAGCACAATAAGGCCAAACATAGTAGCACATGTCCTTAATCCTGGCACTCAGGGGGCAGAGGCAGGAAGATCTCTGTGAGTTCAAAGCCACTCTGATCCCATAGCAAGTTTTGGTCAAACTGGACTGCAGAATAAGAACTTATCTCAAAAAAAAAAAAAAAAAGCAATGGGAACTGATAGGATGGAACCCCTTGAATCTCCACTGAACCTCCATCATTCCAGAGGCTGAGGTGGGAGAAACTTTAGTTAAAAACCATCCTGGGCTAGCCGGGCAGTGGTGGCGCACACCTTTAATCCCAGCACTCGGGAGGCAGAGCCAGGCGGATCTCTGTGCGTTCGAGGCCAGCCTGGGCTACCAAGTGAGCTCCAGGAAAGGCACAAAGCTACACAGAGAAACCCTGTCTCGAAAAACCAAAAAAAAAAAAAAAAACCAAAAAAAAAAAACAAAAAAACAAAAAAAACAAAACAAAAAAAACATCCTGGGCTACACAAGAAATGACTAGAAACTCTCAGGCTGTCTCTTAAGGTGCAGGGCAGCCCCAGGGCTGGGTTCCCCGAGGGTGCCCTGGGTACCACTGGCCTGGACATGGGAGCCGCCTGAGGAGCCTGGCGACCTGGGTTGGTGTGGAGAGTGCAAAGGTCATGCTCCCATCTCTGACCTGGCACAGCCGCTCTAAGGCTGAGGAGGAGCCAGGCTCCACCACCCAGGGCCTGACCCAACCCACGAGCTCATTGCCGCTCAAGCTGGTCTTTCCAGCCAGACCGCCACCATGCTGTCCAGGCCACTGAGAGTCTCTCTGGATATTCCTTTCAGCGTCCACTCTACATGCCCCAGAGCCACTGCCCACACAACTCTAGCTAGAGCAGGCCGTCTAAAAGACCCGCTTGAGTCCATCTCTCACCACATGCCTCCTGCTGATCTGAGGGCACTTGTGGGCAGACCCCGCTTTCTCTCACATCCCTTGAGGCCCTCTAGGACCTAGCCCTGCTCTCCAGCCGCCAGAGATCCACAGTTTCCTCAGCCAAGACCACTCCGCTCCTAGACAATGTTTTTCACCTGATGAGCTCTTACTAATCCTCCAAGTGTGACAAGGCGACGAGACCGCCAGAGTCTCCCTGACACTTCTCTCCCACTCACCCAGATGCCAGGTACGCCACCCGAGCTGGCCTCCTCGACCATCACGCCCTTTACTGCCTGAGCATCTGGAATTCTGGGTACTGCGAGGACCAGGCTTCAAGGAACGCCAGTGAGTGAAGCGGGGAGGCTGGCAGGGGGGAGGCTGGCACCGGGGAAGGGGAAGCCAGCACCAAGCCTCATAGGACAGAGGAGACAGACCCTCCAGCCCTGCTGGAGACCCCCACTGTCCTGTCACAGCAGTGGAAGAGCACAGGTGTGCCACCACGCTCGACACCACAGTTTACAGATTCTCTGGAAGCTTCCATCTCTAACAGGTAAGATGGGGTGAGAACAGCTCTACCACTTGCTAGGTTGAATCTTTAACAAAATTGTGTCCACAAAGCAGCCGGCAACTAACCTAACCTCCCCTGGGTCTGGGGATTCAAGTAGTAGGCTGGCCTGGAACTCACTATGTAGCTGAGGATGACCTTGAACTTGTGATCATTCTTCCTCCAAGTGGCCTTGTTCTCAGCGTGACCCACCATGCCCAGCTTTCCCACACACAATTATTAAGCAGGTTTCCATACAAGCTGTGGTGAGGGGGTGGAGGGGTCCTCAGTGACAGGCAGGCATGATCCTGAGCCCAAACATTCTCGACTTCTTCCCATAGAGGCAGGACAGTGGATCAGGCCAGAGAGTAAGCTTGTTGTCTGGCCCCACCGGCAGGCAGGGCAGGTCTCTCTGAAGAGGGGGTCCTGGAGCTGATGGGAAGCAGTAGCAATGCCAGCAGCCATTGTGAGGGGTCTGAATTTCAGTCACTGTATGTTAGTTTCTTGGGAGGCCCCTGGTGGGCAAGGAGGGAGCTGGAAGCAGATTACGGTTGGACGGGTTATGAGACATCTTTCAGCTCCCGCTCTAGAGACAGGCAGCCTTGGCTTTCAGGGGGCCCTGGCGGGTTTGGAAATGGCTGCCTGCGGGATTCTTCCTTCTGTGCATGCCCTGCACATCTCTGACCCCTGGGACCAGACCTTCAGGGTCCACTCCCTGGGCCCCGAGGCCATTTTCCTGTCTGCCATCTGTTTGTCTGTCTGCCTGCCGGTCTGCTGGCTTCTTCTGTCTCCTTGTGACTAGACTCCTACTTCAGGTCATTAGTGTCTCCTGTTCCTGGTCTAAGGATGGATGTGGGGACAGGGCTCTAGGAATGGACCTTGCTGCTGCCAGGCTGCCAGCCCTGCCAGGGACACCATTGCCTCTGCAGGGGCTCCTCTGTGTCGCATTCCCTGGCCAGAGCCGCTACCTCACAGAGCAGGCAGCCAGCCTCCCTGAAGGGACCCCTCTCAGCCTTCCCCATTTGTACACACGGTCTCCACAAACACCACCACCACCAAAGCCCAGCCGAACCTGGGAAGAGTCAGCAGTTGCCCTGATGGCTTTTCACAGCTTCCTTGGGTCTAACCTCAGTCTTACTTGCCACAGATAGTCCAAACCTCCCAGATGAATCTCAATAAAGAGAACGCATAGTCCATAGACAGGCCCTCTCTATGGCCCAAACCCCTCATCCACCCAGCCATATTTGAACTCAGAAAACACACCAGGCTAAGGCTGACAGGAACTCAGACATTAACCCTCCCCGAATCTTCCTATTTGCAAGTTTAAAACAAATTATCAGTTGCCTGTATGTGTTTGAGAAGGGAAGAATATCGTGTGTATGTGTGGAATCTTTTATAACCCTACTTCCAAAAGCCGAAGATTTTGCTAATAACCTCATTTTATAAATCAAGAAATGGGCCCAGAGAAGGCAAGTAACTTGCCCAAGGTCACAGAGCAAGTGAGACAGCAGAACTAGAAGCCAAGTGTCCGGCCAACTTCCGTAGGGCCTCCCTGAACGCTGATGGTTCCACAGCAGTCTCTAGACACGTGACTTCTCTGCCCTCTGTCCCCACGGTCGTCCCCAGAGTCCCCCACCCATACCACCTCATGCCAACACAGGCTCATTTGAATTGCATACTGTGACCAGGAGAGCCAAGAACACGGTTAGAGCCAATGCGGACACAACAGCCAACAGCAGCACCCCATGAACTACCCCTTCCCTGACCCCAGATGAGGGGCACCCAGTTCTCTCTTTCAGGGAGCTTGAAGTGACCCTTATTCCCAGCCGCAGAGAAAGTCTGTGTACCGAACCTAAATTATGTATTGAAAAATGGCCTTTCTTGATAACATGAGGGATTCAAGAGAGATCTCCGAAAGCATCCCCAAGCGGAAGAAATGTTTTTGAGAAACTGGGGAAAGAGGAGTGTGCAGAATGGAAACTCCTCCCCCACTGCCTCCCCGGGCCCCACCCCCACCCCCGGCACAGTCAGGGCAACTGAGAGCCAAGCAGATCCAGACAGGAGGGAGAGGGGACCCTTGACTCTGGGAGATTCGGGAGCCGCAAGCTGCTTTTTCCTGGGGCCCCTGCCTCTCGGCCGGTGCGCGATAGGTAGGGGAAGCAAGTTAGACGGCCACGCTGGTGCCCAGAGAGAACGGCTGGGCTAGGGTGTCCCCCATCCTCCGGCGGCTCCCACGCAGTCTTCAAGCCCCACTGGGACCCAGCCTAGACCAGCCGAGGGTGCCAACAGGGATGAGCATGGAAAGACAAACGCCTCCCTGGAAGGATCGCGGTCCCTATGACTCTTCTGGGGACCCCCGGCTGGGTCCCTCCACGTCTTTCCGACAGAAACAAGGGATGCATGCGCACCTTCTGTGCGCACACAGGGAAAGTAGGGTCCCTGTCCCCCCCCCCCCGTTCTCGGCCTCCCGCGGGTAATATCCCGCGTCCCGCTGGCGGCTCTGCACCTGCCCTGCCCGCGCGTCCTACCTGCGGGTGTTGCGGGACTGAGCGCGCGCGCGACCCCACGGAGCAGCAGCAGCTGCAGCAGCCAGAGCTGAGCCCGCATGGTGGGCGCGGACGGCCTCAGGGTCTTCGCGGCGGCGGCTGCAGAGGGAGCGGCCCCGGGCTGGGCGAGAGGGGAGCGGGAGCGGAGCGGGCACGGCGAGCAAAGCGCGGCGTTGCGGCCTCGGGGAGCGCGGGCGGGAGGGCCCGGAGGGCGGGGCGCGACGCCGGGGTCCCCGCCTCCCGGAGCTCCGCGCCGCGCCCCGCCGGACCCGGGACCGCGCCGAGACACCTCTGGTCACCGAGAGAACGCAGCTCGCCCAGAAGATCGGGGAAAAGGCCGCGGTGGAGGACCCCAGGAAGCGCCCCTGCTTGGGCCATTGACTCCTGCCAGGGCATGTGACTTTCTGAGCTGGTCCCTGGACTTCTGTGGCTTCCTAGTGTTGTGCAAAAGCGCACACACCGACCCACGCACAGGAATGCCCGGCAGCCAAGCCCCCCAGCTTCTGCCCCAGCTGAGGCGCGATTTGCATTCCCCACTTCACGGCTTTACACCCCATCTCCAGCGCCGGCTCTCCTCCGACCCCCAGCCCAGCAGACGTGTAGGTGCAGGAATCTGGCACATTCCCAATCTGAAGCAGCACGGACGCCCCCTCCCCAAGAAGGCCAGACCCAATCAAAGCTAGACCCAGAGCCTGGAAGGGGCGCCCACTGCCACCACACTCTATCGGGCTCTGGGAATAGGGCACTTTTTTTTTCCTTCCAGGAAAGAATAAAAATACCCGCAATTTAGGAGATTTAATAGACGGCAGGGAACCAGGTCAAGGCGCGAAGGTGCCTGTGACCTACTTCGTGTGAAGGATTGGGGCCTAGGGAGTGGTGAGGGCGGAGGGGCCCCTGGCTTCCTCCGTGCTGGAGACCTGGAGAGTGCGAAAAGAAAGGGTGCACATCCTGAGAAGGAGGGTGCGGGGGAGGACAGAAGTAGTGTGTGGTCTTGAGTAGGTGGGTGGTTTGACCCTGAGGTCAAAAGAAGGACCGGGGGAAGGAAATGAAAACTAAATTCTCTCTCATCTTTCAGGATCCCAATTACGCTCTCTTCCGCAACAGAAGTTTTTGTTGTTGTTTTTTTCCCCAGACAGGGAGTCACGTTTTAGACCCTGTCGGCCTCGAACTCACGACCACCCCTCCTGTTTCTGGTTACTGGACAGATGACAGGCGTGAGCCCACCAAACGGGCCGTTGATTTCCTAACTCCTAACGTGAATTCTCCCTTAACAGCCTGGGGGTGGGGTAGAGTAGGGTAGGGTGGGGGGACCCGAATAGGCTGTCTCTTCCAGCTGCGGCCTCCTACCGCCACCCAGAGGCCATGTGATGAACCATCGGGTTGACTCTGCGCCCACGCAGGCGCCGTGGATAGCCTTTAGAGTGTCCCGGGATGGACCGCCAGCCTCAGGTCTGGTGTCTTCGTGCACGGCCAGTCTTGGTGCCCGCGCTGCATTTTTATAAGGCCTTTTATTAAGGTCCAGGCCAAAGCAGCAACTTGGAAGTATTAGAAGCAAATGATGTTTACAAGTTTCTAAACGTAAGCCTCTAGAACGTGAGCGTGCACCTGGAGCGCTCCTCGGAACACCCATTTCTAGCCCCACGCCAGGCATTGGGTCATAGATGACGATGGGAACCTTCATTTCTAGCGTGGATCTCAGTGCTGAGAGGCACTGCCCTCGAAATTCCCGGGTCCTTAACCGCCGTCATCGCTTCCCAACTGTCTGGAAGGTGACGAAACAAAAGGTACGAGAGGGGGCACCCGGATTTGAACCGGGGACCTCTTGATCTGCAGTCAAATGCTCTACCACTGAGCTATACCCCCTCTGCCGGCAGACCTGCGCCAGTAACCACTAAGTGTGATTCTTGCGCAGGCGCAATAAAGCATTTCTAGAAAAGCAGAATCAAGGGCCGAAGTTTTCAAGAAATATAAGGAACTGACGGGCCGGATTGCTCGCTTGAAAACAAAGGGTATTTCCCGACGCTCTGAGATTCCTTCTGATGTTACAAGAAAATGTACCGAAAGATGGAGGCGATCCCTCGCTGCCCCGGCGCTCCTCTGGGCGGGGTCCCGCTCTGCAGCTCCGCCGCTGCTTCCCCACGCTCTCTCGACTTCTTCCGACCTTCTTTCTGCCTCCAACCTCAGCCCCGACCCTAGACACTCAGCTCTCCCTAAGGGACAGCCGTCGAGCTCACTCGTCGCGCCCTGCGGCTCACGAGCGGCTGCCTCGGGGTACCGGTCGGACCAGAGGTTCGCCTCGGGTCACATTCCGGCTAAGGACGTACACTGGACCGCAGCAATAGTAGGACAGCATACGCCATCAAAATAGGGTGGGCTCGGGGAGACCCACTTTTTAAAGACTAAAGACTCAAGCTAGGTCAGCTTGTTAGCAAAAAGGCACGAGGGGGCACCCGGATTTGAACCGGGGACCTCTTGATCTGCAGTCAAATGCTCTACCACTGAGCTATACCCCCAGCACGATAGACTGGGCTTATCAGAATGGATTTCTATGGAATAGATTTCTATGGACCAGCTCTCTCTTTACATTTTTATTTGTTATGTTAAAAATAACCTAATGAAAACATAAAGTATGGCCAAAATGTCTAGAATTCACAAGGTTTTCCTTCATAACCACATCGCAGGGAAACTACAAGATTAAAGATGCTGGGTCCTCTGTTTTCTCTGCCCAGGTTCCCCTAGAGGTCCACTGCCTGATTGGAAAGGAGACGCGCTATCCTGGTTAGGTCCCTGAATGTAGCAGGGCAGCATGGGCCTCCAGTCCATCTTTAGCATCACCTCTAAAGGACCCTGGGGACTCTTCCTTCCTCTGGGGTCCCCTTCTCAGTGGATCACTATCAATCCTCTTACCACCACTAGATCTAGAACCAAGAGCCCGGGTCCTGGTTACCTGGTACCTATGTCCTTCAACCTAGCTAACCCTAGCCAAGTTCTCTAGCCAAATGGAGCATTGAGTTCTCGCTCCCCCACCTTCCGCTTCCCCACCCCGTTTGCAAGGAACAAAAGCCAGTTTTCGGAACAGACAGAAATACGAGCAGAGACGTTTTCAATAGCACTTACTATATACCTTTACTTTTTAAATCTTAATGCAATGCGTTGTGTTTTGTTTTTTAAGCATGGCACAAAGACAAAATAAGTAGGTCCTGTAGAAACCTTTGGCATTTGAGAGGAGTGGGACTCACACCGGAAGGACACTGAGAGGGAAGGAGATACCACGTGATGACTTAGACCCAAAAGCTGTGGTCGGAGTTAGCATCCAAGAGGGAGCAGAAAGGCGAGCGCGAAGTGTGAAGGATTGCCTCTGTCTGGAATGTTCTGTCCTCCCATCCTCCACCTCTCCATGTCACCCCATCCCCCAACTTTTGGCTGGATCCTTGTTGCCTCCTTTTTTGGAATCTCCGTTGTCTAATGGATAGGGCCCAATGTCAAAGATCTCTTGCTTTCGGGCAGACACAAGGTGAGGGCTGGGAGGGGGTCCCCCAACACACTCAACAGGTTCCCTGTGTCTCCTCAGTGAGGGGCAGTTTCCTCCGTGGCTCTGTCTGTCCCAACTTGAAGTCTTTGGTCCAGCTCCTTAGCGACAGTTGAGAGGACAGGGGCAGTCTCTCTGTCCACTCTGTTTCCACCAGCAAAACGACTGGGTTTTCACACCGGTGCTAACCGTGTGGTTTCTGGTTGGCTTCAGGCTGGAACATCACTTGGTGGTGGCCTGAGATTTCATCCACTGGAGCCCAGCTGGCAGCCTGCAGGGAGGGAGGGATGGACTACTGCACAAAGGACCGTCAGCATTTCCCATAAGAGGACGTCTGGGAAGCTCCAAGCCTCTGCCCGGGACAGACTGAGAGGGTAGCCAAGGTTAGAGTCAATCACTTAATGGTAGAAGGGAAGAGAGTTCCAGCATGCATCAGCACCCACTGAGCTGGGGGCTGGGGCTCCTGGGGAGAAGCAGTCGTCCTACAAAGCTAGCCGAGGGAATGGACAATACATTAATAAACCAACAAATAAGGAGTCGGAGGCCTCTGGTAGCCCCGGGAGGCTCCTCTAAGGCAGCTTGGAGCCTCACCTTCTGGGCCCTGGAGCAGTGTGTCTGGACAAGTCTTCTTGTCCTGTTTTGAGATTAGGGGCAGTAGCCAGGTGACCTCAAAGGCCAGGGAAGAGACAAGTTCCTCACCAGGTGAAAAACACCTCCAGAGCCAAAGTGGAAACTTAGTAAAAATGTCTGCCATTGCCCAGCTTAGCCTGGCCCCGGAGTATGGCACAGGACCCAGGGAGCACAGTGAATTAGACTACAGATTGGAGAAGACCAGAGTCCCTAATGGGTTGAGGTGACAAGCATATTGCCAGAAATCTGTGGTCCCTCGAATTCTCTTATTTAGAGTTTCCTTTTCTTCCAGAAAGTGTCCAGACAGGGGAGATGAATGGAAATTTCCAGGCCTCATGGAAGGCCCTTTTGGAGAAATCCAGCCCTTCACAGTCTGAGGTATTTGATCCAAGTGCTAGGATCCTTTATCCTCAGCGTGGGCAGGTAAACATGTGCACATAAAGTTTTCCCCCAACCATTGCCAATTTTTCTTTCCTTTCTCCACCTTCCTGTGTATCACCTGTTTTTGTTTGTTTGTTTTGTTATGTTCTTGTTTTTTGTGGCAGGGCCTTGATATGCAGCCCAGGCTAGCCTTGACCTCACTGGATAGTGGAGGAGGAGCTTGAACTTCTGATCCTCTTGCCTCTGCAGCCCGAGTACTGAGATTGCAGGTGTGCAATGGTTCAGGGCTTCAGACATGTGCGGCTACGAGCCAGCCCCAAGGCAGGGATTTTTGTCTGGTTTGTTCACCACTGTTTTTCCCAATTCCCAGAACAGCACTTGGCACAAAGTAGGTATTCAAAAAAGCCTAATGAAGAAATTGTGCCAGCCACTCTCTGCAGAACTGGGGGAGAGGGAAGTATGATCCCCTCCTTTTACAAGAAAGTCAGAGAGTCGGCGACTTCCGCCTTGGAGGCCAGTCTCCTGCGGTCTTTCCACAGCTTCTTCCTCTTCCCTGGGACCTCAGCTATCCCCGACCACGGAGACAAAAATCAGAGTTACCCTTGCCCTTCCGCCGCTTTGCCCATTTCACGGTCTCCAAAGAGTTTCTCAGTCCCTAAAATCCCTGTTGTTTTGGTGGAGTTTTAGCCCTTACTGTTAGAACAAACCCCTGGAGCACAGGGCTCTGCAGGCCCACAGGACCTTAGCTTTGGGCCTGTGCCCATCTTACTGGGCCAGGAGCCAGCTTTGGGCCAGATCCTGACTGGAAAGAGACAGGAGGGGGTTCCTGGAACCTTCTGCCCATCAGCTGGGCCAGGCCAGGGACAGGTAGGGGACTAACCCTTCTCCAGTGAGAGCGCAGCAGCCCTGGATTTGCCACGGGTGGTCTTTGATGGCACTGAGTGTGAGGACTTGGGAGATCTCTGCTGTGGTCATGGAGTCTTTCACATCCTGCTTGTTGGCAAAGATCAGGACTGAGGCATCTCGAAGTGCCTGTGGGCAGAAGAGCCCAGCCCAGGTCAGCAGCCAGCCAGCATCCCTCCCACAACCTCAGGAGTCCTCTGGGATTCCTGCCCAACTGTTGTAGCAAGAGAGGCCCATGGCCCGATGGGACAGAGGTGGAGATCCACCCGACATCAACAACCCCATCAAATGATGCTACAGCTCGTGGGACATCTTCCAACTGCTCACAGATGGTTACAATAACCTCAGACATTGTTTTGTTATTGTTGTTTGTTTGTTTTTTCAAAACAGAATCTTACTCTGTAGCCCAGACTGGCCTGGAACTCTATAGGGAGCCCAGACTGGCTTCAACCTCATGGCAATCAGCCTCAGTTTCCCAGATTGCATGTAAGAGCCACCATTGCCACTGTGAGGTAGAAGCTAATGATCTTCCTTAGTAGTAGAAATGAAGCAACTTAACTTGCTCAAGGTCTCACAGTGAGTGAGTGGTGGGCTCAGTCCTTGAACCAGCAACTCTAACCTCTATACTCAGTTGCTCTGAGAGCACTGACTGGACCCTTTATCTATAATAAACGAGCATGCGACCAGCCTGGGAGCACACAGCTGGTCTCACTGGATGGCTTCCCAAGTTCAGGGGGCTTACCTCATGGGCCAGCATCTTATACAGCTCCTCCCGGGTGGTCAGCAGCCGATTCCGGTCTGTGCTATCGATCACAAGGATGACAAACTGCCCAGCAAGAGCGAGGTGTGAGCTGCAAGCCTTCTCATTGGTGAACATACTTCCTATCAATGATTAGGCCTCTGCCCTGACCGAGTGCCAGCCCCACAGGACAGGAGCTGTGCAGCCTGCCATTCGAACCACGAAGGACCCGTTTTTAATCACCTTATACTTTATTCTTTGGAGACAAAATCTTGGCATGCAACCCAAGCTGGTCTGGGACCCTCCTGTCTCCATCCCCCAAGTGTTGGGATTATAGGCATGGACCACCACACTCATCTTAGGATTCGAAAATCCTTCTCTTTTACATTCGTATTTACATATTTAAAACTTTTTGTTTTGTTTTTTTAGGATTCAAAAATCTTCACGGATGCTACACAATGTCAAGCATCTGACAACTGTTTGTTATTATTTCCTTTTCAAGACAGCTTGAGTAACCATTGTTCAGTCACATCCCAGGTGGCAGAAGCTAGGCTCAGAGGGGCGGTAAGTGATTGACAGGCTAATACACAGCCACCGGCCTCCCAGCCACGCTCCCTCCTCACCTCAGCATTGGAGTAGTACGTGTCCCAGGTGGAGCGCAGAGTCTCCTGGCCCCCTAAGTCCCACATGAGAAAGTGAGTCTTCTGAAGAACAATTTCTTCCACGTTGCTACCAATGGTTGAACACGTGTGAACCGCCTCGTTAGTCAGGCTAGGGAGGCAAGAGAAGGTTCTGAGGTCTTGGCCTAGCTCTGACCATCGCCCCTCCACTCCCAAACCAGCTGAATCCAATTCAGAACAGCTCGGCCCTGGGGGACCAAGCAGGCGTGGAGGCCTACATCCTGTGATTGATGTGTGTGTGTTGGGGGGGGGGGTATGAGTTAGTTCAAATGTGGCCTTGGCTGGGACCCCAGAGAGGAGGGGCTCCTTAGAACCATCCCAGAGGCCCAGAGGCCCAGAGGCCCAGAGGCTTGCAATACTGTTAAGCTCCCACATGGTGGCGTTGTTTCTGGACTGTGAACCACACTGGAATTGTGGGAGCTGGGAAGAACCGGTCAGATCTGAGTAAGGACCATCAGACTCTCCCCTGGTTTAGAGGTGAAAAAAAAAAAAATACAAAAACAACAAACAAACAAAACCCTTATTTTTATTTGTTTTCATTTTGGGTTTTTCCCCCCTGGGGGAAGATTTTGTTTTTCTTTTTTCTCTTCTTCTTTTTTTTTAAATGGTCGTGTCTCATCGTATGGTCTCAAATATGAGATGTTCTTGCCTTAAGCTCCAGAGTGCTGTGATTACAGGCAAGGACCACTATGTCCCGTTACACTTGTTTTCTGAAAGCTCACCAAGAAGTTATAAGGAGGAAGATTGGGAGTGAGGACTTCGTACTACTTGAATTTTTCTTTTCTAATCTAATAGTGGTCAGGAATCTAGAGTCTCAAGAATTCTAGGCAAGCACTCTACCACTGACTGATCGACACCGCCAGACCTTTCCCCCCCTAATATTAATTAATTAATATTGTACATATATTACTTTCTCAGAGAAGAAGCACTTGCCCTAAATAAATAGATACTTTGGAGTCTCCACATCAGGAGAGACTCCATCCTGAGCGAATGCCTGCGAAAGCCCGGCTTGCTATTTGGGAGCTTGTGCGGCAGACCCGAGCTGCAGAACTTCGGGAAGCTTGTATACCTTCGGGGAGTTCACGGTCCGCCCAGAGGTTGGAAGTTGGAGAATGAAAAGTTAACTAAGGTGCAAAGATGAGAAGGACCCTGCCGCCAGGGGGAGCCAAGAGCAGCGAGGCGAGAAACCTCCTGGCATTCCAAACCCTCCAGAACTGAAATGCGATCAGGACTGATTGCGGGAGGCGGTGGGATTAGGGGTCGCCCACAGCTTGCAGGATTCAAATCCAGGCCTACAATCACTAAATCAGGAAGGTCACACCAGCATCCATCCATGAATCTTCTTGTCTACAGCTGCCCACGAACTCAGGGAAGGGCTCTGGTGATTGGTCCAAATGACTATCAGTCTGGTGTGAAGCTCAGCCCTCTCCGTTCACCCAGTAGTTACTTACAACTGGTAGAGAATGGTGGTCTTTCCTGCATTGTCCAGTCCCACGATGATGACTTTGTGCTCTGGAGGGATCCAGGGGAAAGACAAGGTCAGCGCCAACCCCGAAAGCCATGGGCTCGGGTGTCCCCAGCAGGCTTCTTGTCCTGGTCTCTTCCTCACCCTCCGCTCCTGCCTGGGTGCCCTCTCCTCTCCCCGCCCCACCCCTCTCCTGGCACTCTCTGGAACCCAACCACACTGATGTAGAACTCAGTATCTCAGATTTCTGTGTCGTATCGGTCTCCTGCCCCCCATCTCTCCATCCCTCGGGTGCTCTGGGAAACGCGTTCCCCGCGGGCTGGGGACTGTATCACTTCACTTGCCATCGGACCGGACCCCAGCACCTCTCCAGGAATGTGGAAGAGAGAACTGACCCCATCCCATCTCCCTCCACATTTCTAGAAAGTGACTGTCTGAGGGTCCGAACCACGCTGGATTCTAAGTCACCATCGCAGGAAACTGACTTATCCAGGGGGCGCGCAGCCCAGCTAGGTGGTGGGTAGGGGCAGGAGGCTCTCCCACCCTCATGCACTGAGCACATTGGAGCGCAGAGACAGGAAAAGTGCGACGGGGAGAGCGGAGAGGGGGCCGTGGAGCATATGGGGGAACACACAACGGACTCTAGAAGTCCCAGGTTCCCAGTCGGTCTTCTCCGAGGACCCCAAAATCCCAAGAGCCCCAGAAGACAGCGGAATCAAAGAGGTCAGTCACTAGGCTGTCCGGTGCGCCCCTTACCCTGGCTCCCAAAGATTCGCATCAGTTTGGCTATCAGCTGTCCCATGGCACTCCCGGAACTGCTGGTCGGGGAACCTGGGGGGCTCGGCGGCCTCCGGGACCAGATCTGGCCTCAAGCTTTCAAAGCCCCGCCTCGGGGAGGGCCGGACCTGCTGCTCCTATCAGCTAGGGGAAACCCCAAGCGTCACCCTCCAGACCTGGGAATCCCACGGGACGCTGGCACCTCACTGGTGCTAAGGGACTAAGGGACGTCACTATGAAGACCAGGTACCTGACCAGGGGCCCGAAAGTGCAAGGAAAATCCCAGAGTCCTCTTCACCCCGAGAAAACTGAAGAGTTTGGACCATCTGCTCCAAGGGCTGCAAGTCAGCAGTGTGTAAGGCGAATGCCTGCTCTTCCTCCCCCCAACAGCCCCCGCTGGGGAAAACCCTCCAAGGGCGGTCCAGCTTTCTGACATTGCGACACAGCGTTGTCATCTACAAAGTTCCACACTGAGAGCCCTGCAACTGAGTTACAAAACAAACAACAAAAAAACCCTCAGGATGATTTTGCCAAACCAATCTCTTAATTTTTTAAAGATTTTGTTTTGTTTCTTTTTTCTGTTTTGTTTTGTTTTTCAGACGGTTTCTCTGTGTAATCCTGACTGTCCTAGAACTTGCTTTGTAGACCAGACTGGACTCGAACTCAGAGATCCACCTGCCTCTGCCTCCAGAGTGCTGGGATTAAAGGCGTGCTCCATCAAGCCTGATTCCTTAAGAATTATTTTTTTATTTGTGTGTGTGTGTGTGTGTGTGTGTGTGTGTGTGTGTGTGTGTCCCCATGTATGAACACATGTGTATGTGTACCTTTGGAAGCCAGAAGAGGTCCTCAGATCCCAACTTGGATACTGGGAACACAATTTGGGTCCTCTGGAAGAGCAGCAAGTGCTTTTAATTGCTGAACCATCTCTCTAGCCCCTAATTACATATTATTAAGTTTTCTCGTTTTGTGTTAAGTGGCATTCATAGCTATTCTTGGCTACATGAATTGCACATAGCCCATAGATCATGGTTGGACATGCCTAAAATCACAATAATGGCCAGAGAGGGCTCAGTGTTTAAGTGCATCCCTGCTCTTCCAGAGGACCCAAATCTGTTCCCAGCATCCACATCAGACAGATCACAACTCTGTTGACTCCAGGTCCAGGGAATTCGGTGCTTCTGGCCTCTGCTGACACCAGCACTCATGTGCACATACCCACATGAAGACACACACACACACACACACACACACACACACACACACACTTAAAAATAATATAAATAAAAAATTTAAAATCACAATGTCCAGGTGTGGTGGCGCACGCCTTTAATCCCAGCACTCAGGAGGCAGAAGCAGGTGGATCTCTGAGTTTGAGACCAGCCTGATCTACAGAGCAAGTTCTAGGATAGCCAGGGCTACACAGAAAACCAAAAATAAAATAAATTCATAAGAACCTCAGGTAGGGGCCTGGAGAGATGGCTCAGTGGTTAAGAGCACGAGCTGCTCTTCCAGAGGGCCTGGGTTCAATTCCCAGCACCCACATGGCAGCTCACAACTGTCTGTAATTCCAGTTTCAGGGGATCTGATACTCTCACCCAGATACACATGCAGGCGAGATACCAATGCACATAAAAAAAAAAAAAAAAAAAAAAAAAAAAAAAACTCCAAGGGCGGTCCAGCTTTCTGACATTGCGACACAGGGTTGTCATCTACAAAGTTCCACACTGTGAGCCCTCAGGCAGCCTCACAGATCACATCCCAGCTCTCAGCCGGTCTCCAGCTGATTCATTAGGAGGGAGTTTTCTGGCCCAAAGTGGGCTTCCCTAGAAAAGAATAGGGGTCTCTTTTCCTCTTGTGGGTATCCCTAGTCAGTTTCTGGAGGAATCAGTTGTACAAACAGTGCTCTGGCAGTTGACCAAGGTTGGAAGTCTGCAGACAAGAGCATCCAGTCAGTGACCCCGCAGAGGGGAGGAGTCATAATCTGTAATTCCAGCACTGGGGAGGCTGAGATGGGAGAATCCCGAGTTAAAAACCAGCCTGGAATACACAGCGAGACTGTCTCACACAACACAAATCAATCAATCTCTCTTAGCAGAGGAGAAACGGTCTTTTTATTTGTTGATCCTTTTCTGTTTCTTTTTTCAGAGGACATGTGATGGGCTGGTTTCAAACTCCTGGATTCCAGCACTCCTCCAGCCTCAGCCTTCTGAGTGGCTGGCCCACAGGCTCCAGCAGCAGGCAGACCCAACAGAAGGTGACATGGGTCACAAGGGAAACAGCAGATCCAGCAGGAGGAGGAAGAAAAAAAAAAAAAGTGCTCTTTGTCAACGTCACAACCTGGGGAAAACCCAGAAAGCCAACAGAGAAGTGGAAAAGGCAAGTTGACCTCAGGCTGAGAAACTCAGAGTCCCAGACTCCACAGTCCTTCCCTGGCCCTGAGAAAACTGGAGATCTCTGATAGTCTTCTCCTGCACTGTGAATCAAGGCAGGCTCCAAGAGAGCGGCTCCAGTCATCACCCCCCACACCCTGGAAGTCGGCTCCTGCAGCCCCTTATGGCTGACTGCCCTCTACAGGGGCAGCAACCCTTAGCTGCTGCTCTCTCTATCTCTACCTCCTCCGCTGTACGCAGGGCCTCCTCCTCCTCCTCCTCCTCCTCCTCCTCATGCCCTACCAGCCCTCCTTAAGGACAGCTCATGGTCACTGACTCCCGACTCCACAAGCTTTCAGTGGCTCTCTGCTACCCACTGGGGTTAGAACAGCCTCCTCATGTGGCCTTCAAGGGCCTCCGTAAACAGTCCCCGTCTGTCTTTGCAGCCTGCCCCCCAGGCTCAGCATCCGCTGATCTTCATTCGGAGAGGCCCAGATCTTTTCCAGATCTTCTCAACTGGGCCTGTGCTTCCGTGTCTCCTCTGCCTTGAATGCTTTGAAAGGGAAAGGCCAGAGAGCCTTTAACTTAATTGTTATCATTGCCTCCTATTCTCCAAGCTCTGCCTTGCTTCTGCCGCTCCTGAGACACCCCCACTCTCCCTGTCTGGGGTCTGGGGATTGGAAGCCTGTTTCCTTTTATTCCCTGTGAGTCCTACAGTGTGGAGCTTGAATCCTGTTCATTGGCACATGTCCCCCTTCCCTGCCTTGTCCAATGCCTGTCTTATGATTAAGGAAGAGAAGTCATTGGATTGTATTAGAATGAGTCAAGCTATAGCCTGAAGAATGCCTGGTTAGAGCATTAAAAAGGTAACATGGGCTGAGTAGTAGTGGCTTGCGCCTTTAATCCCAGTATTGTGGTTTTATTTTATTATTATTGTTTTGTTTTGTTTTGTTTTGTTTGAGATAGGGTTTCTCTGTGTAGTTTTGGTGCCTGTCCTGGATATTGACCTGTAGACCAGGCTGGCCTCCCCAGTGCTAGGATCAAAGGCGTGGGACACCACCACCACCTGGAGCATTGTGATTTTAAGCCACAGGTAGAAGCAGGCAGATTTCAGTGAGTTGGAAGCCAGCCTGTGTACAGAGTGAGCTCCAGGACAGCCAGGGCTGTTACACAGAAAACCCTGTCTCAAAAAAACAAAAACAAACAAACAAAAGGTAACATGGGCATCAGTATAAGAGGACTAAGGAAAGCTGGGATGTTTGATGTTTGTAGTGAGCAAAGAAAAACAGAACCAGGCCCTGGAAGTTGGCCACTGACCTCCACAGGTTCACCCAGGCACATAGACTCTCACCCTACGTTTTTTTCACTCTCCATGGTGAGCAGCGTTAGAAGATTACAAAACTGACCGCCACAGTCCACACAGTCCATCTGGGCTGATTCCATTTCAGCCCCAGGAAAGGAGCTGGTGTGGAGGCTGTGAGACTTGCGGGGGGCACAGAGGGTACCTGGGGGATCGCTGGTGTTTCAGCATTGCTACCATCTGGTTCCTAGGGGGACAAAGGCGTCCTGCTTTGTCACTCAGTAGCAGAATTGAAAGTGACACTCTGTGGGCACACTAAGTAAGCAGAGCAGAACTGCCTTGGGGGCTGGGGAGGTGGCTCAGGGCAGGGTGATCTTGGTTTGCTGCCCCCCCCCCCCCCCCCCCGCAGGTGTAAGTTTGGTTCCTAGCCTCCATGGAGGGCAGAGGACCTGACATCCTCTTCTGGCCTCCAGAGCATTTGCAGACACACTTCTCCGAGAAGGTTTGATTTAGAAGGGAGCGCGGACAGACTTCACCAAGAAAGCCGTTACAGGAGCCAAAACAAGACTTAGGATATTAGACCGGAACCACGGTCCCATCCTAGGCCAAAGTTGAGCCTCAGCTCAACCCAGTTTGTTTCAGGATAGTGAACCTTCGGGCAAATCTGGGCTCTGTGGCTTATCCCACTTCAGCTCGCTGGGGCAGCGAAGACCAGAGGTGGAAGCAGCTGGTCAGAGCAGTGAAGGAAAGGTATCCCCCTGCTTCCGCTTCTGAGTCCTGGAAGTGACGGTGGTAGCAAGGGCGGCTGACGTCATGGCTGTTAAAATCTTCACGTGCTGACAGCCACCAGCTTGCTGACTGAGCAGAGTGGGTAGAGGGCTGTGGTTACCTGGAAACCAGGCTTTCTCCCCATCTCTATTATCTACGCCAGCTAGAACTGCCCACCTCTAAGTTCTGAGCAAATGCGACTGTAGGCAGAAGGTGTACAGAAAGACAGAGCGTGTTCACACACCTGCTTCCTCCTCCTCGACTCCCTAACCCCCCTCTTTCTAACGTCCACGCTTCCTGGAGCAGAAGAATTAGCTGAACTTGGGGGTCACAGGCACTACAAAATTCAATATCTGTGGGGGCTGGTGAAGTCACCGCTGGTGACTCCCAATTTTCTCACCTGCCACCTCCAACTTACTCCCTCTGAGACCTTCCGATCCTGTAGGGTTCCCCTAGTGGTCAGCGCCTGCCTTCCCCCGTGGCCTGGGTTAAGCCCTCCTCCTTTCAACCTGGAGTATCAGCACTGTCTGCAGGGAAGGCTATAGGCTCCACACTGCACCCCTACGTTGCCATGGCGACTTACCATCCTTCAATTCCTGCATCGGTTTCAGATCAAAACTCAGACTCCTTAGCATAACGTAAGGCCTACTGCGACCACGCCCCCTCTGGCCAGCAGCGATCCCCACACTTGGTTAGTCCCGTGCCAACAGCATGTGGTGCATGTCCTCCTCTTCCTCTGCATGAGGAATTTCCTCCCACTTCTCTGTCTAGATTAACCTAACCATGTTCCCAGATTGCAAACCTTCTCTGACCTCCCCTGTTAAGAGAGTGGTGTTCCCAGGACCAAAAGCTCCCCCACAGCAAGCTACTCAGAGCGCTGTCTGCGCTTCCCAG